CTGGGGCGACACATGGTCGGGGAACCCCCTAGCAAAATTTTGACGCCGGAGCTTGCTTGGTTGCCGGGTTGAAATACCTGGGCGGACAAACACACACACAAACATATACAAAAGCACACAGATAAGGTCGTTGCAGTGTGCGTTTTTGCAATTTGCATATAAGCAAAAGCGCATAAAAACTGACAGTCATCTACCTGGAGGTCCATGAGGCTCTGTAATGCACCACCTTCATCCCACCCGACGCCTTTTCTCTTGCACGCCGCGAGAGGTCAGAGCACGATCAGCCTAGGTGTTAGGCTGTAGCGCAGGGATCATTCGTGGTATTAGCGATCTGCGAGTTTGGTGCAAAAACGCATGATCACAGCGGCAAGCCTGGTGCGTTCCAGCCGGAGTTGATCTCTGACCGATGCAAGGGCTATTTGCTCGGTTTTAGAGAGAAGGCATATAATTTAGACGTGTGACACGGTTTCGACTGGGCTTAATTCATTTCCACAAATTGCTGTTTCGAAAACTTTTCCCTCCATTCACCTCTATATACCATTTCTATTAAAAACTACCAAAAAACATTCTTGTCTTATTGACTTTTTGTTGTATTTCACAGGGAACAAAATGTTGCCGCGCGGTGTTGGCGTTGTAATAATAGCATCAATGGTTCATCGAGACCCTCGATACTGGCCTGATCCGGAAGTATTCAAACCGGAACGCTTCATTGATAACGAACTCAAGCACCCATATTCGTATATACCATTTAGTGCTGGAGCGAGAAATTGCATAGGTAGTAAAGTTTTGCAACTTCATATGTTGCAGTTTCGGACCAGTGTATTATGCTGAACAACACTGTGGAGTATTATAGCAGCGTCATCCCCTTAACCCTTCCCCATATCCGAAGTAGTCCTCCATCTGTCCCACCAGCTCACCTCCACTTTGTCTTATCGACTTTTCTTAACCTACTTGTGAGCAAGAAAACTGGAATGTAACCGAACTTCAAAAAAATCAAAGCTTTTAAAGCAGCAAAAACTTTTAAAAAAGGCAGCCTGGAAGATAGGAACAATATGAAAAATTCTCAATAAAAAAAAGCCCTATTAACTTTTCCATAAAACCAGGATAGCAACTCGGATTCCAGAACAATTACTGTTCACAGAACACATTTTGTCCTACAAGAATTAGTGGAATGTGTATGGTATGTTGACTACTTTTTATATTGTCCAAAAAGTTACAGTAAGTGGGAGCAAATGAGGCAGCTGAATGCAAATTCAATGTTGCAGGACAACGATTTGCTCTGATGGAAGAAAAATGCATCCTGTCACTTCTGATGCGACATTTGAAGGTTAAGTCAAAGCTGCGCACCGATCAAATGCGCGTTTCAGCAGAGCTCGTGATCCGACCCATGTATGGCAACAATATACGCTTCGAACGACGCACATTCGGCGACTATTCTCAAATTTCGTAATTTTTCCACCTGTGCCAACTTCTCTGTCACATTCACAAGCGGATTTAAATGAAAGAAATGACTCAAAAGCTAGACAGCGAATGTCTTATTCAGAAAACAAATGCATTGCTGACCCCTCGGGATTTATTCAGAAGCAGCTAGCTACTGTGTACCGTGATGATGCATCCAGTGGGAAAAACCGGGTATCCATTCTCTCGTCGTTTGTGATCAGAGAGCACCAAAATGTTTCACACAGATAGCTTTATTATGTGCGGTGCCGTGTGTATTCTTGTGTTTCAGCCGTGCAACTGCCAGATGAAATATTGTCATTAGAAATAAGTGCATTACGCCACTTTTTTTCGATCGGTATCTTGCGATTTTCACTTCAAACGTGTAAAAACGTTGATGAAGGTTGTGTAAATCAATTCAACTGAATTTTGATAAACCTCTGCTTTTGGCTTTTTCTTAAAATTCTCTTCAAAGGTGTGAACGCAAGCCTTTTTTTCCGAGAAGTGAGGGCCGTCTACCTTAACTGTTCGTTTACAAAGAAACTTAAAAAAATGCAGACGCAAAGCAGAAATTTCGCAAATTGTACGGTTTCATTTGGATGTGGTCGTTTGAACAGCACATGTCATTTGAACGCCATATCTGTTACATATGCATGACTAGTAAGTACCTCTGCCGGCTCATGCAGCATCTGTATTAGACGTAATTCATGAATACATGCTGTTGCAGGTGTGAACAGTAAATATAAAACAATTCAACGTGTGAATTTGCGGCCTGATCTGGACTCAACCAAAGTTTTTAAATGAGGATGGATTTAGCAAAAGATTTCCAGAAGGATCATGTTAACACAGGGACGCAAGACACTTTTTTCTTTACTCAAAACTCATCATTTCAGGCGATCATAAAAATTTTTATACGAATACAAGGAATTGGCGCTGGCGGAAAAGCCAGAAAACTAACGACTAACTGACACAGAAATTTAGATATTGACAGTGCAAAGAAATAAAGACATTGCTTAAGTAATACATTTTTCAAGGGTTCGACGAACTTCCGATTCAAGCACTACACAGACACAAGCGCCAATTTGGTAGGCTTGTAAAGCAGATTGAACTAACAGTGTTTTATGATTCAGTTCTCCTTCGCTCGCACAAGCACCTGCTTCTCTCGGGACAGGATTGTTGCCGTGATGAAATGTGATAAAGTTTGCGCGCTTTCTAGTTGCAGAATAAAATTAGGATACGGCGAGACACGAATCATGAAACTAGCGCAACAATCCGGGCAAAAAACTTTCGTCCTAGAATGCCGCAGCTAAAAAATCGCTGAATTTCCTTTATCACGGATATGCACTACGCTGCGACTCGTAGTAGTTATCAAATGGAAAGCAAACAAATGCGTTTTAAACACTTAGAAATAAATGCGTTTTAAACAGTTAGAATGGCACAAAACAGCGAATCATCGGTATCCACTAAAGGGCAACATTATGGCGAGAGCCATTCTCGCATTGTAACCAAAACGTTCAAAATTATTCCCAATGGTGCCACACAGCCTCCACAAGTACTGCTAAATAATGCTACATAATGCTCTTTCGTGGAC